GACCACCAAGGCACGCATTTCTGAGAATGCCTGCCCGAAGTTTGGGGTATAGAATGAGAAGCTGCGGTGAAAACGGAGGACGAGAAGAGGTGTAAAAGCTCATCGATGGAGGACGAAGAAGGAACCTCTTTAAAAACAGTCAGGTGTGAGTAAAGGTTCCAATTTGCCCGATTAAATTGCCAGCGTGGGGTGCGAAGAGGTGGCGAATATGAAGGGGAAGAAAGAATGATTGGGAAATGATCACTGTCATGTAAGTCCGGGAGAACAGACCAAGTAAAGTCTAATGCGGTGGAGGAAGAGCAAACTGAGAGATCGATGCAAGAGAGAGTATGAGTCCGAGGATCAAAATGGGTGTGAGTACCTGTATTTAAAACATGGAGGGGGTGGGTGGCAAGAAAAGCCTCTAACTGAATTCCACGGGAATCACAGTGAGACCCTCCCCAGAGGAAATGGTGGGCATTAAAATCACCAAGTAACAGAATCGGTGGCGGTTAATGACGAAACAAGGAAGGCAAAATCCGGAATAGATAATGCCCGAGAAGGAGAGAGATATAAAGAACAGAGCGTATACCACCTATGTAAGTGGATACGGGCTGCTGTGTAATGCAGCGAAGTATGAATAAATAGTTGATGGTACGGAATATCAGTGCGGAGAAGAAGGGCACTTTCATTAAAGGTCCCATCAGGAAAAGGATCTGAAGAATACAACAAATTATAGCCTGAGATGTGAGAAATAACAGCAGAGTGTAATTTTGGTTCCTGTAAGCAAACACCAACAGGGGCAAACTGGGAGAGTAACATCTGAAGCTCACCCCGATTACCCCTGAGGCCGCGTATATTCCACTGTAAAAAGGCCATGATTGGCAATGATAAAGATACTTGAAATCCGCAGGTAAGGGTTCCTACGGACTAGAAGGGTTAGAAAAGTCCACATGCGGAGGCAGTGGAAAATGTTCAAGCAGCGAAGGAACGGTGCGCTGTGAAGAAAGGAGTTGCGCAGATGGAGCAGAGGAGAGAGAAAGAGCGGAAGGTGGATCAGTGTCCATGTGATGTTTGGTCTCTGCAATATATTCAGAGATTGCTTCAAGTGTTTCGGAATTCAGAGATGTCGTATGGGAGACAATATTGGGAATGGTAGGGGGAGGATGAGTAAAGATTGGAACTGTATTGGACTGTACCAAGGTAGGGGGGGGCGAAAGGGTGGAGGGAACTGGAGAAGCGTGGCAGGGGACAGAAGAGACAGGAACCTGGGAGGTGGCAGAAGAGGAAGAAACTTGGGAGGGAACAGGGGAGGAAGGTACATTACGAGGAGGAGGGTGAACCTCTGCACTTGTAACCGAGCCAGTGAGAGGGGAAGAACTAGGGACAGAGACAGGGAGGGTAAAATGAGGAGGTGGAAGATGGGTAGGAGGTGTTACCGGACCTTTTTTTGACTTTTGAGAAGTAGAGGGACGATTGGGAAGAGGTGTCGTACGAGGTCTCGTCGATACTGAGGCTTGTAAGAGAGAACTCGAAGAAGCGAGATTAGACTGAGGCGTTGAAGTAGGGACGTCTGAGCCGAGGACAGCAAAAGGATTAGATACAGGAGTGATTATGGGAGAGGTAACCACAGAGGTGGGTGTAGAAGATGGATACCAGAAGTGGGGGGACGTTTTGAAACCACGGGAATAAGAAACACGTGGGAGTCTCCCTTGGAGGCGGAGATGAGAAACTGCCATGGCATAAGGGAGACCTTCTGTCTCTTTGAGGTAACGGATTTCCCGCTCGTTTAAATAGACCTGACAACGGCGAGAGTACGAAGGGTGAGCCTCATGACAGTTAAGGCAAGAGGGAGATCGATTGCAAGACGTATTAGAATGGTCATCGGCACCACAGACTGGGCATTCGGCGATAGATCTGCAATATTTCGCTGGATGGCCAAATCGCCAGCAATTTCTACACTGTTGTGGTGTAGGGATCACCTTTCGAACTTGTAACCGATGTCCTGCTATATAAACGGAGGATGGGAGTTCTCGGCTGTCAAAAGTTTAAACGAGCCACATTGCTAGGGTATCGTCTCCGCCCACGGGCAGGAAGAACGTAAGTGTCTACCTTGAGGATTGGGAGATCTTGGAGTTCCAGCTGTTCGAGAATGTCGGTGCCACATGTCTGGAAATTTTGTTGAACTATGGTATGGGGCAGAATAACGGTACCACTACAAGAATTGAGGGAATGATGTTTTTCAAGGGTGACAGGAACAGTATCTATATGGGAAAGACGAGAGAGCTCACGAGCCTGGGTAGCATTCTGTACGGTAATGATGCGCGTACCGCTCTTAAGAGCATGAAAAGAAATATCTTTACCAACATGGCGTAGGAGTGCCTTGCCAATACTATGGTCAGAAAGATAGGCAGTAGAGGAAGTTGGTCGTAAAGTGAAGAATTTAGTCCACTGTTCAGTCTGAAACTGAGAGTGGAAAGGTAGTGAAGGACGTTGTCAACGTTTCTGAGAAGAACGAGAAGGTGAAGGTGGAGAAGTATCATCAGCAGGTTAATTGTCGTTGACGTTTAGGCGTGGGACCAGAGTTGGTCCGACGTGGAACGGGTCGGCGATTTGAAAATTGCCGCACCGTAGAGGGAGAGGCCGGAAGCATAGTCAGAGGAGAGCGAAGGTCTGATAAATCGAAGGAGTCAGTCGAGGCCTCAGTACCTGAAGCGGGTGAGGAAACAGCACCGGCAATAGGTACAGAGGCATGAGGAATGTCTGAAGAGTGGTCCAAAGACGAGGCGGGGTCAGAACGGGGTGCGGTATCAAGAAGGGGCCCGGGGGTACTAGGTTCATGGACTAGGGCTGCCATGGTTAGGTTACTTCTTTCTTTTTGTTTTTAAGAAAAAAAAAGAAAGAAGAAAAGAAAATAAAAACAAAAAAAAAGAAAAAAAAAGGGGGGGACCGGGGAGGGATAGTTCCTAGGAGGAATGAAAGGGCCAGAAATCTCCCTCCGCGCCCAAGAGGACTCGACACCGCTAGTAGCGCAGATGCAGCATGGAACCCGTGCCATACCCTACCCTTCATGCCAGTAAACCAGCAATCTGGGATAGCAACCTCACATCTGCCGAGCTACCTCGGTGGACAAAAGAGAGGGCGGCCGGATATCCGCCACAAAGCATACCTCCTTCAGCCACCACCCCCGGAATCCGAAAGGTGGCTTCCAGAGATACACCCGTCGCCCAAAAGACACCCAAAGCTACTCCGGGATACCGGAGAGGGATCGGGACATCCCTAGGCAATCCAGATTCCACGGCAAACTACGCCACCGCCAAGAAACCTCAACGGAATGGGATGGACCCCGGTGTCCTTTCCCCTACCTAGGAACTAGCGCGCCTGTGGGAGAAATCACGAAGGCTAAAAAGAGGAAGGGCAAAAGGGAGGGGTGAGGAGGAGGAGGAGGAATGGAAAAAGGGGAGGATGGGGAGGATGGGATAGGGGAGGGGAGAATGGGGGGTAATTAGGTTCGGTCTGAGGAAGAAGACCGACAGGGCTAATTCCTCAGACCAAGAGCCTCTTCACCACGCCAAGGAGCCCCCCTTGAAGAGGTTTGATAATGAGAATTTTTAGAATGTACCTAGTTAATTACCCATTTCAACATTTTAATTTTTAAATCTGATCTCTTAACCTCGCCTAACTGTATTAAGACTGAACAGTGAAGTAATTATTTATATTGCTTAACTGGTTCTTATTCCAGAAACACGTGTTATATTCAGAACCACTACAGTGTGCTATATTTTCTCCATCTTCACATGACCTTTCAATTAAAGTTTTACACTCCAGATTTATTTTTTTGAGAAAAAAATGACTATGCTTCATATAATGTTGTTATATAAGCACAGTGTTAACATCTTAACTAATCTGACAGCAAAACTAGCAAATTAATTTGTATAGCTAGTATTTCAAGTGCTACTTCACCCATGAATGTAGCCAAAATGTTAGAATTTTGTCATAAGAACATACTCTTTAAAATTCAAAGTTCTTATAAACATAATTTAGCTTTTAAACAATGTTCCCTAAATTATTTTTTTAATGCGTTGGCCATCTCCTGCCGAGGCAGGGTGACCCAAAGAAGAAACACTTTTATCATTATTCAACACTTTCACCTTCATTCACATATAATCACTGTCTTTGCAGAGGTGCCCAGATATGACAGTTTAGATGTCACTCCAAACAGCCAATATCCCAAACTAAATCAGGATGTGAAATTTCCATAAATGCTTTACATGACAATAGCAGAAAATAAATATGACTAGGGATGGGAGCAAGGGGCTAGTAACCTCTTTTCCTGTATAAATTACTAAATTTAAAAAGAAACTTTTGTTTTCCTTTTTGGACCACCCTGCCTCGATGGGATACGGCCGGTTTGTTGAAAGAAAGAATGACTAGGGACCTTTAATGCATGTATATCAAACATTTCATAGAAATACTAGTCAATATTTGCAAGGCATTTTTCAAATTTCATACATGTACACTTTATAAACCAGGCTGTCAAGTTGCTGACCACAAGTAGTAAAGAATTCTGAGGATAGAGATTAGAAGATACTGTGGGGGTTACAAAAAGTATTATTCAAGTCAGAGAAGGATTTTTTGATGTGCTTTAGGCATTTAGAGAAGATGGTGAGGAGAATAAGATAGCTAAAAGGTTGTATTAATCTAGTGGGGAAGGGAAGAGAGGGTAGGGCTTGTCACAGGAAGAGCTGGAGGGAGGGTGTGAAGGTATGTGACTGAGCATCCGGTATGCATGAGTGCACATTGGAGCAGGCCGAGTGGAGAAAAGTGTTTTGACATTTTGTTAGAATGTAGCAAGGCAATATTTATGAAGATTCAGGAAAATCAGTTAGCTGGACAATCCTGGAGACGAGAGGTACAGTGCATATTCTATACTGTGATGTCTGCATACCTCTGGCAAGGCTGCTAAATGAAGGACAGTGAATATTTACTTTTTTGATTATATGACCTTACTTATATCATACCTTAAGTTTCTTTAGAGATCTGTCTCCACTGAATGGTATAGGATTATCCTTATCATTTGCTTTCACAAAGTAGATTGTTGGAAATCCTTCTACTTTAAACAAAGGATGTACATCATTAGCAGTTGCATCCATCTTTGCAACTACAACATCTGGATTAGTTGTCAATAACTGCTTAGCTAATTTCTTATATACTGGCTCCAGGTTCTTACAATGACCACACCACGGAGCATAAAATTCTATGAGTACATCTTTCTTAGTAAGCATTACTTCCTCCTCAAAACTTTTAGCTACAACCACACGCACAGGACCATCTTGTCGTTTGGGAACTGACTGAGACTTAAGATGAGGAGTTAGCTTCCCTGAAAAATTATGACAATTGTGAATATATTTTTTATACCAAAAGCTGTCATTTATCAATTATTTTTACAAATTATAATTCATATTCCATATTATCACAATTAATAATGATATTATAGTAGTTCACTGATTATTTGGCAATCAATTATTTGGTTTCCAACATGATCTGGCTATTTCATTTGAGCTGGCACCTAAACAAGTAATGCTGAATAGTTAAGTACAGTGGTACCTTAACTTACAAGTTTAATTCGTTCCATGACCGAGCTCGTAACTCAGTTTGCTTGTACAGTATATCAAATAAATTTTCCTCACTGAAATCAGATGAAATGTCATTAATCTATTCCAGCCCCCAAAAAACCACCCCAGGGGGCAGGAGAAACTACTTCAATATCAACTCTATGGCTTATTTATCAGAATTGGTCTAATATGACAAAAAAAACACTAACAGAAACATAATATATATTCTATAATGAATCAAATAGGCCATAATATGGCGAGTGTCCAGGACCAGTCCAAACACAAAATCATTACTACTCTTTCCTATAACATGTTCTTTGGTCCTGGGTAAGAGAAAACAGTTTTTGAGAGGCTACCTGAACTAGATCACTAGTGCAGTGATATGTGAATATCTCAGAAGTAAGTTATTGACTTATTTCATGTAGCCCACCATTTATTACTAAAGTAAATGCAATAATATTGACAGGAATCATAAAAAAAAAAATGATTGTTCTACAATTGGCTTGTGGAATATTGGAAATATTTTAGGATTTGTGTGGGAGTAAAGGGTAAGATATTTTGCAAATGTCAAAAACCTAGCAACTTTATTTTTTTGTAGAATAACTAAAGATAATTAAACAATTACCTCCAGTGAGAACATCGCACTAGCATTGTTTTGTAAGTACCAAGTCCCAAAACCACCTTTTGTCGTGCCATTTAGGCCAGGGTTCTTGCCAAATGTCATTTTCAGTAAATATATATTTTTTTAGTAAATATTTTTTTTTCGCTCATAACTTGAATTTTGGCTCGCAACTCAAAGCAAAAAATCAACAGAGCGATGGCTCGTAACTCAGAAAACTCGTAAGTTGGGGCACTCGTAAGCCAAGGTACCAATGTATATAAAAGGGACCATAAAAATTATGTAACAATTCAATGTTAAAAATCTGTTAACACGCAGTTTTTGGTGCCACATAATCAATTATCTACTGTAACAATTTCTTTCAAGCAACAATTACTTACCTGCTTTAAGCTTTTTAATAAATTCACTTAGAACATCAGAGCTGAAGTCCTCCTCAGGTTCCATTGGGTATCTGTAACCACTCAATTTTTTAACATTTTGACTAAGAGAAATTATATATTAATTTTAATTTACACTGTTGCTCATTTGCCAAAGCAGTAGGGCCCCACTTATACGGCAGGTTAGGTTCCACGTTACTGCCGAAAAGCGGACATTGTCGGAAAGCAGAATGCCTTTTTTTTTTTTTTTTTTACTTATAAATGCCAGATAACAAGTTTACACTAACATATATTAAGTTAGCAATAGAACTAGGCATTAAAAACAATAAGAAGTAAAATACACACAAAGTACACTCATTACTTGCCTTAAAACATTTCTGGTCTTAATTAATGTAGGGCGAGAGATTAGTAGTATTTATTTGTAGGAAGTCAGGTGTAGGAGGTACGGTAGCAAGCCAGGCCACTCCACCCACACGTAATATACTACAACATTTAAAGCACTCCAGAGTGATAAAATACATATACTGTATATTCATCACTTACCTTTTTAAATGTAGAGCGAGAGGTGTGTAAACGAGGTAAAATGAATAAATGAGAGAGAGACAGAGACAGAGATTCAGAGAGACACAGAGGCAGAGAGACAGAGGCAGAGAGACAGAGGCAGAGAGACAGAGCAGAGAGACAGAGGCAGAGAGACAGAGGCAGAGAGACAGAGGCAGAGAGACAAGAGAGAGGACAGAGGCAGAGAGACAGAGAGGCAGAGAGACAGAGAGGCAGAGAGACAGAGAGGCAGAGACAGAGAGGCAGAGAGACAGAGAGGCAGAGAGACAGAGAGGCAGAGAGACAGAGAGGCAGAGAGACAGAGAGGCAGAGAGACAGAGAGGCAGAGAGACAAAAGCAGAGACAGAGAGGCAGAGAGACAGAGGCAGAGAGACAGAGGCAGAGAGACAGAGGCAGAGAGACAGAGGCAGAGAGACAGAGGCAGAGAGACAGAGGCAGAGAGACAGAGGCAGAGAGACAGAGGCAGAGAGACAGAGGCAGAGACAGAGAGGCAGAGAGACAGAGAGGCAGAGAGACAGAGAGGCAGAGAGACAGAGAGGCAGAGAGACAGAGAGGCAGAGAGACAGAGAGGCAGAGAGGCAGAGAGGCAGAGAGGCAGAGAGACAGAGAGGCAGAGAGACAGAGAGGCAGAGAGGCAGAGAGACAGAGAGAGAGACAGACAGAACATCACTCCATCTGAGATCATATATACCCAGGATGACTCGAGTATGGAACACATTTGTACAGCATAATGATGTCAACGAGATAAAGTCAGTTGATCACATGAAAATGCTGGCCCACAGATGGCTCCAACTTCATCCTGTTCCCTACTTGTCTGTCTCATAACAATAAAAATGCTTTCAAATGAGCTGATGTAGGTAACAGCTCTTAGCTTGCCAATAAAGTTAGGAATCCTTAACCTGTAAATAGCTTGTCAATAAAGCTAGGGATCCTTAACCTTGTCAAACCCTGTGTAAAAAACAAGACAGAGACAGACAGACAGACAGACAGACACAGACAGAGAGAGAGACGCGCAGTTACGTAAACAAGCAGACTAACACGTCTGGTTTTGGTTCATATACCTAACACCTCATTTATGTCAATTTATTCTACCATGGGGTGTATTTATCATGTTTATATGTTACATAGCATGTTTATTAAATAATTTTGAAAAAATATAGATGGATTAATGCTTATATTAACGTAACATACGACATTTAATGCGCCTCAGTGATTATTATTGCATATTATTATTATTCTTTCAACGTACCAGCCGTATCCCACCGAGGTGGGGTGGCCCAAAAGGAAAAACGAAAGTTTCTCCTTTCAAATTTAGTAATATATACAAGGGAAGGGGTTACTAGCCCCTTGTTCCCGGCATTTCAGTCGCCTCTTATGACATGCATGGCTTACGGAGGAAGAATTCTGTTCCATTTCCCCATGGAGATAAGAGGAAATAAACAAGAACAAGAACTAGAAAGAAAATAGAAGAAAACCCAGAGGGGTGTGTATATATATGCTTGTACATGTATGTGTAGTGTGACCTAAGTGTAAGTAGAAGTAGCAAGACATACCTGAAATCTTGCATGTTTATGAGAGACAAAAGACACCAGCAATCCTACCATCATGTAAAACAATTACAGGCTTTCATTTTACACTTACTTGGCAGGACAGTAGTACCTCCCTGGGCGGTTGCCGACTACCAACCTACTACCTAGGTATTATTATTATTATTATTATTATTAATACGGCATCCTTAAGACTAATAAGACACTTAGTGATTTTAACGTGTACCTGCATGCCGGCACAGTAAGTTTATTTAGGTACAGTGCACATAAGTATAATTATCAGAGTACAGCCTCTCCTCACTTGCCGATGTTCTCGTTTACCAACAACTTGGAGTTAGGACAGGCTCTCCAACAAGTTGGTATTGTATGATGTACGAGAACTTGGGTCATGAATGGGCTGCGAAGCGTCTCAGCGTCAAGCATCTCTATCTCCTTCCTACAGCCACTCAGTACACTAGCTTTCACAGTCTCCTAAACAACATTTGTACAAATAATGAACGGATTGAAAGGATTTTCACAGCAAACATAAAACTTAACGTTTTAATTTCAGGTGATGACATTTTTGAAGTATCAGTAAGGGGTGGTTCCTCGATTAGCTATGAATTCATTTACCAATGTGGTCTTAGTAATGGAACTCTGTCGGTAAGTGAGGAGAGACTGTATATATAAAACACGAAATAACTTTAAAACACTTGAAATTTTGGAAAGTTTCCAGACATAATGAGACATGGTGCTCACAGAAATGTAAACAAACCGGGTGGGGCACGGTGACCCTATTAGAAAGTCAGGTGGGGGGAGCCATATAGCGAGTTTTGGTCATAATTTGAAATGTCCATATTAGATGGACGCTGTAAGGCGAAACACAGTAAAATGAGGCCCTACTGTAGTGAAAATTAAGATCATAGCTGTGTGTACACCATATCCAGTGACAACAGGATGGAGAAACAGCTTAAGTAGTGACAGCAAATCATGTGATCATTGATGACTAAGGCACAAAGGAGAATTATAACAGTTCATTCAGCCTTGCATTTTTATGTAACATACCTAAGTGTTTTAATCATGTTTTCTCCAAGTAAACCTTGCTCAAAGTTATGTCCTTCACTGTACTAATGCACTTATGTGCAATTATCTTTGTAGTTAAAATTCAGCTTCTTTGGCAGTATACAATAAAGAGAAACCCTTGAAACCAGTCAAAGCTTTGTCACAGGTTTAATACACCATATTAGAAATAAAAGACTAACTGAAGAATATTTTACAAAAAGTTAAGTGGAAAACACAGGTGTAAAATGTATTAATTTTGGATGTTGCCTATCTTAATAAAATCTTGAAAAAAAAAAAAACCTTAAAGAGGCACTTTAAAAGCACAAAATGCAATACACTAGAAAAAATACATCTTACTTTAGATTGTTCACAAAAGCTGCAACATTCACAGATTCTCCCGAGTCTTCCAAACCAAGGCTCTTTATCTCTTCTTCAAACTCTTCTTCATTGGCAATTGCAAAGATAATGTCTCTATTCTTATCAGCTACAGGAAGTATCTTGTTGCGAATAAACTGGGTATCTGAAAGAAAATAAATCTCAGTGTGTCATATTGAGAAGTCTCAATACAATTACAAACTTTACTACTAAAAATACCCTTCATAAAAAGTTTTTAGTAAAAATTATTTAGACACATCATCCTCAATTATATCATAAGATCCCTAAGCAAACAATGTCAATGTCCTTGAACCTACTAAATAATTATACTGTACATACTACTGTTAAATTCACATCTTGAAAACACTACACTGATGATGACATAAGACACTTCCTAAAAAAAATGTGATGTAACATAGGCATCACACTCTAAACAAATGCTAATTGATATTCCGCATGTTTGCCTGAACCTACACAGAAATCCAATGCCAATAATAGGGCCAAAAGTGTTTAACCCTTAAACTGACCAAACATAGACCTACGTTCACATGTGCAGTGCTCCAAAAGTAGATCTACGTTTTTTTACACATTTTCAAATATATAAAAAAAAAATGTAGATCAAAGTTTTTTTAAATGCTTTCAAATGTAAAAAAAAAAAAAAAAAAAGACCTATGTTTTTTTTACGTACTTTCAAATGATGAAAAAACGTAGATCTACGTTTGGACAGTTTAAGGGTTAATAACATGCCAGGTGAATTAAATTTAAAAAGGAATGAAAACAAAAACTTAAAATAATAAGTGGTCTTGATGTATAATTTTTTAAAAACCATTCATCTTTCACATCTGTTATAAATTACACCATGATTGTTAATTTTCTGAAATTCAATTTTCTCATTATCCTCCTTATTTGATTTTCAATATTCTATAAATTAACATTCAATTAAACATTAAATTTTAATTTAAGTCCCACATTAAATACACAATATATTTTATTACAATGCAGTTCTATGTAACTATTTTTTTAAGTACATACATTTATTTACACATGTCTAATAATTCCCATTTTATATACTGTTAACATTAGTCTTAAATTAAGAATGACCATGCATCACTATGGGCTTTTTCCTTAAGAAATATGTACTATTAACTTACTATTGTTACTAATGAATTTTCTTGGGAAAATGAGGATGGTGTAGTTTTCAAAAGAGAGCGAGATATGAAGCCAAAAGCTAATGCAAATTTTTTTTTTTTTTTTTTTTTCAACAAGTCGGCCGTCTCCCACCGAGGCAGGGTGACCCAAAAAAGAAAGAAAATCCCCAAAAAGAAAATACTTTCATCATCATTCAACACTTTCACCACACTCGCACATTATCACTGTTTTTGCAGAGGTGCTCAGAATACAACAGTCTAGAAGCATACACATATAAAGATACACAACATATCCCTCCAAACTGCCAATATCCCAAACCCCTCCTTTAAAGTGCAGGCATTGTACTTCCCATTTCCAGGACTCAAGTCCGACTATATGAAAATAACCGGTTTCCCTGAATCCCTTCACTAAATATTACCCTGCTCACACTCCAACAGATCGTCAGGTCCCAAGTACCATTCGTCTCCATTCACTCCTATCTAACACGCTCACGCACGCTTGCTGGAAATCCAAGCCCCTTACCCACAAAACCTCCTTTACCCCCTCTCTCCAACCCTTTCGAGGACGACCCCTACCCCGCCTTCCTTCCCCTATAGATTTATATGCTTTCCATGTCATTCTACTGTGATCCATTCTCTCTAAATGACCAAACCACCTCAACAACCCCTCTTCTGCCCTCTGACTAATACTTTTATTAACTCCACACCTTCTCCTAATTTCCACACTCCGAATTTTTTGCATAATATTTACACCACACATTGCCCTTAGACAGGACATCTCCGCTGCCTCCAACCGTCTCCTTGCTGCTGCATTTACCACCCAAGCTTCACACCCATATAAGAGTGTTGGTACTACTATACTTTCATACATTCCCTTCTTTGCCTCCATAGATAACGTTTTTTGACTCCACATATACCTCAACGCACCACTCACCTTTTTTCCCTCATCAATTCTATGATTAACCTCATCCTTCATAAATCCATCCGCCGACACGTCAACTCCCAAGTATCTGAAAACATTCACTTCTTCCATACTCCTCCTCCCCAATTTGATATCCAATTTTTCTTTATCTAAATCATTTGACACCCTCATCACCTTACTCTTTTCTATGTTCACTTTCAACTTTCTACCTTTACACACATTCCCAAACTCATCCACTAACCTTTGCAATTTTTCTTTAGAATCTCCCATAAGCACAGTATCATCAGCAAAAAGTAACTGTGTCAATTCCCATTTTGAATTTGATTCCCCATAATTTAATCCCACCCCTCTCCCAAACACCCTAGCATTTACTTCCTTTACAACCCCATCTATAAATATATTAAACAACCATGGTGACATTACACATCCCTGTCTAAGACCTACTTTTACCGGGAAGTAGTCTCCCTCTCTTCTACACACCCTAACCTGAGCCTCACTATCCTCATAAAAACTCTTTACAGCATTTAATAACTTACCACCTATTCCATATACTTGCAACATCTGCCACATTGCTCCTCTATCCACTCTATCATATGCCTTTTCTAAATCCATAAATGCAATAAAAACCTCCCTATCTTTATCTAAATACTGTTCACATATATGCTTCAATGTAAACACCTGATCTACACATCCCCTACCCACTCTAAAACCTCCTTGCTCATCCGCAATCCTACATTCTGTCTTACCTCTAATTCTTTCAATTATAACCCTACCGTACACTTTTCCTGGTATACTCAGTAAGCTTATTCCTCTGTAATTTTTACAGTCTCTTTTGTCCCCTTTCCCTTTATATAAAGGGACTATACATGCTCTCTGCCAATCCCTAGGTACCTTCCCCTCTTTCATACATTTATTAAACAAAAGTACCAACCACTCCAACACTATATCCCCCCCTGCTTTTAACATTTCTGTCATGATCCCATCAGTTCCAGCTGCTTTACCCCCTTTCATTTTACGTAATGCCTCACGTACCTCCCCCACACTTACATTCTGCTCTTCTTCACTCCTAAAAGATGGTATACCTCCCTGACCAGTGCATGAAATTACTGCCTCTGTTTCTTCCTTAACATTTAAAAGTTCCTCAAAATATTCTCGCCATCTACCCAATACCTCCATCTCCCCATCTACTAACTCCCCTACTCTGTTTTTAACTGACAAATCCATATTTTCCCTAGGCTTTCTTAACTTGTTTAACTCGCTCCAAAATTTTTTCTTATTTTCATTAAAATTTCTTGACAGTGCCTCTCCCACTCTATCATCTGCTCTCCTTTTGCACTCTCTCACCACTCTCTTTACCTTTCTTTTACTCTCCATATACTCTGCTCTTCTTATAACACTTCTGCTTTGTAAAAACCTCTCATAAGCTACCTTTTTCTTTTTATCACACCCTTTACTTCATCATTCCACCAATCACTCCTCTTTCCTCCTGCCCCCACCCTCCTATAACCACAAACTTCTGCCCCACATTCTAATACTGCATTTTTAAAACTATTCCAACCCTCTTCAACCCCCCCACTACTCATCTTTGCACTAGCCCACCTTTCTGCCAATAGTCGCTTATATCTCACCCGAACTTCCTCCTCCCTTAGTTTATACACTTTCACCTCCCTCTTACTTGTTGTTGCCACCTTCCTCTTTTCCCATCTACCTCTTACTCTAACTGTAGCTACAACTAAATAATGATCCGATATATCAGTTGCCCCTCTATAAACATGTACATCCTGGAGCCTACCCATCAACCTTTTATCCACCAATACATAATCTAATAAACTACTTTCATTACGTGCTACATCATACCTTGTATATTTATTTATCCTCTTTTTCATAAAATATGTATTACTTATTACCAAATTTCTTTCTACACATAGCTCAATTAAAGGCTCCCCATTTACATTTACCCCTGGCACCCCAAATTTACCTACTACTCCCTCCATAACATTTTTACCCACTTTAGCATTAAAATCCCCAACCACCATTACTCTCACACTTGATTCAAAACTCCCCACGCATTCACTCAACATTTCCCAAAATCAATCTCTCTCCTCTACACTTCTCTCTTCTCCAGGTGCATACACGCTTATTATAACCCACTTTTCACATCCAATCTTTATTTTGCTCCACATAATCCTTGAATTAATACATTTATAGTCCCTCTTTTCCTGCCATAGCTTATCCTTCAACATTATTGCTACTCCTTCTTTAGCTCTAACTCTATTTGAAACCCCTGACCTAATCCCATTTATTCCTCTCCACTGAAACTCTCCCACCCCCTTCAGCTTTGTTTCACTTAAAGCCAGGACATCCAGCTTTTTCTCATTCATAACATCCACAATCATCTCTTTCTTATCATCTGCACAACATCCACGCACATTCAGACTTCCCACTTTGACAATTTTCTTCTTCTTATTCTTTTTAGTAATCTTTACAGGAAAAGGGGTTACTAGCCCATTGTTCCCGGCATTTTAGTTGACTTTTACAACACGCATGGCTTACGGAGGAAAGATTCTTATTCCACTTCCCCATGGATATAAAAGGAAAATTAATAAGACCAAGAACTATTAAGATAAAATCAAAGAAAACTCAGATGAGTGTGTATAAATAAATGTGTACATGTATGTGTAGTGTGACCTAAGTGGAAATAAATTTGTTGACAATTTTGCATTTTCAAAGTTATTAGTTTCAAGAGACTAACATGAATATAACTCTTCACAAATTTGTGGAGACGCCCATACATATAAAAAAAAAAAAAACCTGGCATACCTATCCATGTTCATTTTATCTTGCAAATTAAAATTAGTTCCTACCTCTGGTTTAATACTTGCCTTTCACATACTGGTGAGAAAAGTTTACATCATAATATACTACTACAAGAGGTTGAGTAGTATATTTAAATTCCATGTTACTTCTTGTGCGTTGCCCAACCAGTGGTATACTTTTTTTGGATATGAAGGCAGCAATTTCCTTGTATGTTCCAGTTGTCTGTCAAAAGGGTTACGTAAAAAACCCAGTTCATTAAGCAGCTCATAGGAACTGGTGCTCGCAACATTGCAACACTTATGATTAATATTCTAAACATAAATAAATTCAGCAAAACTTGATAAATACCAAATAGGACTTCTTTCAAAATGACAATAGGAGAACATATAGAACCACAACAATCATTCATAAAATACATGAATGAAGTACAGGTGTCCCTTCCTCTATGTGGCTGATGTGCTCATGGACCATGGTGAATGAAGCAATTTTTGCATAAAGTGAACCAAATAGTACAATGTAAAACACCAATTTTCAGACTATGTATTCCTAATTTCTTGGATACTGTTTATTAGCAAAGAAACACAGCATACTAGTTAAGGCATGAGTTCCAATGATTCCAAGTTTTATTATTTTGCTACATCAAGATCCCTCAAGGGAGGCACCTTGATGCTGGTGAGAGGCTCTTGATCTAAGAAATTGGACCTGTGCTCCAATTCAAGAAACTATTGTGGAAAAAGTAATGAACAATGAAATTCAGATTTCTATCAATCTCCAAATAAAATATTATTTATTTTTACACAAAAATTACGAACATACCAGATAAGCACTCAATGGCCATATACAGTGGTACCCAGAGTTTTGTACAGCTCCCAACTCAAACAATTATGTAAGTGTATTATCGTAAGTGCTTTTGTAAATGTATTTTTGGGAGTCATTTCAGACCCCCAAAAATACATTTACATAAGCACTAATCTAATTTACATTATTATTTATGGGAACAAATTTGTTTGGTAATAGCACTCGAACAGTCTTCTGGAATGAATTATGGCCGAAACTTGGGATACCACTGTACTTTAAATAAATGCAATTAATAATAAAAAGAAAAATTTAATTAAAATTCAAGCATAATCCTCCTTCCTTTTACTCTTTGTCAGAGTTAAGTGGACATTTTATGAACCTGTTATTACGTACATATCTCCCTTATCTTTCCTTCACCCCTAGTACTGACAATGTTGGCACAACCCAACAGTCCAACTGCATGTCCAGTTTCTTTTGATTAGGGGCAAGACACTTATACTGAAAGCCAACTATAAGACTTCATTCAAAATACGTATGCTCACTGGCTTCCCCATACCCAAATCTGTTTCCTTTCCTTTATTTTAAGTACAAATTAGTTTAGAGTGTTATTTAAGAATATGGTGGACCCCCGGACATCGGCCAAATCGGATTTCGGCAGCCTTTTTAGCCGAAATTCTATCCTGGATTTCAGCCAGCAACTCATAAATCAGCCATATTGGGCACGTCCGCCTACCACGCTACGTGCCCAAGTGTCTGGCTGTGTCTCTGGGCGAGTGAGCAACACTCCGCGCATTCATCCAAACATTATAATCCACTTTTTTGTGGTTGTTTATTGAGTGCGACTCTGAGATAAGCCACCATGGGCCCAGGAGCTACCCACTGAAGAGCTACAAGACCTTCATCTGCAACAGCAACAGACCACAGTTGAGGAAATTGGTTCAAAGGAAGAAGAGAGAGGAAAGAAGGTGCCTTCTTCAGTGATTAAGGACATTTGTACAAAGTGGAGGGGAGTGCAAAGTTTTGTGGAGAAATCACCCTAACCAAGCTGAAACAGGCCATATCTGCAACATGTTCAGTGACAAAACCTTGTCCCACTTCAGGCAAATCTTAAAAGAGATGCCAGAAACAGACCTCTCTGGACAGTTTTTTTGTGCGACAGGGGTGCAGTGACTCGAGCTGGTCCTAGTGCCAGTAAAAGAAAGGAAGTAAATAAATAACAAAAAAAGGCATAATACCGTGACTGGAACGATACACAAATAACCCACACATAGAAGAGAGGAGCTTACGACGATGTTTCGGTCCGACTTGGACCATTTACAAAGTCAGTGCGACTTTGTAAATAGTCAAGTCGGACCAAAACGTCATCGTAAGCTCCTCTCTTTATGTGCGGGTTATTTGTGTAAAGGAAGTAACCCCGGATAGGGACTAGATACCTGAAGTCCTTATGGAGGGGGATTCCCCTTCCAAATAATAATCAGTCCTCCCTCTTTCCTCCTCCTTGTCTTCCATATGCCAACCAGAATCTTCAATAAAGGTAAATGTGATGTTAAATGTTCATTTATCCATTTCATTAGTCATTTTATTTAGTTCACACTGTTCTGCGTATGTAAAACTATAGTTAATCTTTAACTCGTAAATGGTCCAAACGTATATATACGTTCACTACCGTACTGCCCCAACTTTTTTGAGAAAAAAAAAATTGTCGTTTTTTAATAGGAAAAAAGAGCATATGGTACCCAGGCATCCCCAATTATTTTAATATGGCGCACAGTGAGTTGCTCACACCCATTCTCTCATGTCTAGGTGACTCAGGCTTATCGTGGCAATGTTAAATGTATGACACATAAAATGTATATACAGTGGACCCTCGGTTCGTGATGCTATAGGCATCAGATAAATCCGGTAACCGATGCATTATATCGCAGAAAATTTGCCTCGCTTCCCGATACAAAACCCGGTATGCGATGTGGTTCGTACGAGATGTGTCAATGTGTGGCCTGAACTGCCCCGTGTGTGCCAGTGTTTACAAGCCAGCCAGTGTGCGCGCATCTAAGGATACATTCGGTACATTCCATATTATCACTGTTTATGGTGCCTGTTTTTGCAAAGTCACCATGGGCCCCAAGAAAGCTCCCAGTGCCAACCCTTCGAGACCAAGGGTGCTAATGACTGTTGAAATGAAGAAAGAGATAATTGCAAAGTACGAAAGTGGAGTGCGTGTGTCGGAGCTGGTCAGGTTGTATAGTAAACCCCAATCAACCATCTCTACTATAGTGAGCAAGAAAACGGCAATCAAGGAAGCTGTTCTTGCAAAAGGTGCAACTGTGATTACGAAACAGCGACCACAAGTGTTAGAAAATGTTGAGACTGTGTTATTGGTGTGGATAAATGAAAAACAGATAGCACGAGATAGCATCTCTCAAGCCATCATTTGTGAAAAGGCTAGGCAGTTGCATGATGATTTGGTAAAAAAATTGCCTGCAACTAGTGGTGATGTGAGTGAATTTAAGGCCAGCAAAGGCTGGTTTGAAAGATTTAAGAATCGTAGTGGTATACATAGTGTGATTAGGCATGGTGAGGCTGCCAGTTATGTTGTGCGACAGAAGTCCAGTGACTCAAGCTGGTCCTAGTGGCATTAAAAGAAGAAGGGAAGTAACCCCGGAAAAGGACTTGCTACCTCAAGTCCTAATGGAGGGGGATTTCCCTTCTAAGTGCTAACACCATCCACACTCTCCCCTCCTCCCATCCCATCAATCATCACCAGATTTTCATTAAAGATAAGTGTCAATTATTCTTTTGTTATTTATTGTTATTTATTGTTATTGTTGTTATTGTAATTACTGTTCTATTGCATTAAACTTAATATTTAATGTGGTAAAAGTTTTTTTTTCATACTTTTGGGTGTCTTGCACGGATTAATTTGATTTCCATTATTTCTTATGGGGGAAATTAATTCGTTTTCCGATATTTTTGGTTTACGATGAGCTCTCAGCAACGGATTAGTATCGCGAACCAGGGGTCCACTGTATACGTTTGGAGCACTAGTGGTAAAAACGTATATATACATTTAGACCGTTTACGGGTTAAAAGTGGATTTTTGTTAATATTTCTGGGTGTCTGGAATGGATTAATTGTATTTAAATTAATTATTATGGGAAATATTACTTCAGTTTTCGGCCTTTTCAGATTTAAGCCAACCTTCTGGAATGGATTACAGCCAAAATCCGGGGTTCCACTGTATATGGTTATAAGTGGTGCTAAGCCTGAGTGATCATATAGGGAAAATTTATACTGTGCAAAGTGAAATACAGTGGTCCCTCGTTTTTCGTAATTAATCCGTTCCTGGAGGAGCTACTATAAACGAAATTTACGATTTGCGAATCAATTTTCCCCGTAAGAAATAATGTAAATACAATTAATCTGTTCCTGACACCCAGAAGTATTAAAACAAAAAATTTTTTTTACATGAAATATAGATGTAGTACATAAACAATACAATGGGAAATGATGAATGAAACATTAACAGCATAACACTTACCTTTATTGGACATTCTTCTTAATGTATGGGAGACTGGAGGAGGAGAGAGATTGGATTGTTTACAGTTTGGAAGGGGAATCCCCTTCCAGCAACACCTCAGGTACCAATTGCTTCTCTGGGGTTGCTTCTCTTCTCTGTTTCTTAATGCCACTAGGACCACCTTGAGAGTCACTCTAGTCCTGTCTCGCAAAGTAACTGTGGAGAGAGCTCTGTTTCTGGCGTCTCTTTAACACTTCCCTAAAATGGCCCAAGACTTTGTCACTGCACATATTTCTCACCTTCTTTACCACAGGCTCGGCACTAGGAGCTTTCTTTGGAGCCATGGTAGCTTATTTAGTACTTGCAAGCACTAAAATGAGTGGATTATTATGAAATATTTCGTAGGAGCACTTGAGGGGACCTTCACTCACTGGTAAACAATGCCAGACTGGCTGGGTAGGGAGGCCTCCCCGGCTCACACCGTGCGTACGCGTCCCGGACGAACTACTATTTGCGAGTCAACCTATGAAAAGCGAGTCCATGTTTATACGAAAATACCCCTATGATTGGCGAAATTTATGATTGCCGAGAACTACGAAAAGTGAGGGACCACTGTACTGGTAAAAATGGTGTGACTACAAAAAAATGAATTGGCATAAAGTTAAATTGCATAAAGCAAGGGTAAACCTGCACTGCACAAGTATTTATTTATGTTATTTCACTATATATGAGCAAATAAATCAGCTTAAGACTAACCATTCTCCATGGGGAAGTAGAACAGAATTCTTCCTCCGTAAGCCATGTGTCATAAGAGGCAACTAAAATGCTGGGAGCAAGGAGCTGGTAACCCCTTCTCCTGTATATATTACTAAATGTACAGGAGAAACTCTTGGTTTTTCCTTTTGGGCCATCCCGCCTCAGTGGGATACGGCCGGTGTGTTGAAAGAAAGAACACTAACCATGCACTTGCTACACTATATATTTAAAAATGTCAACTCAAAGGAATAAAAATAAACATTTATTCTAACTCCTATTTCTGTAACATAAAAATGGCATGTTGTGTAATCTAAATTAAGGCAAGTGTGGGTTATTTATGTATTGTTCCAGTCATGGTATTGCCTTATTTTTTTGGTATAATATACAGTACGTACATGAGACTGTGCAACAGATCATCTGCGCTCACTAGTACAATACATATTATTGGAAAATATAATATACCACTGAAGAGAGGTGGGGAGCAGTGGAGGGGAAAAATTAAATATAAAAAAAAAAAGAGAAATGAATGCAATTATCACTGCTGCTACTCTAACCATCTTCAAGGTTACTTTTTACAATCATATTTCTTATACCTTAGTATACTTGGAGCTTTTGTCCTCATACTTTGAGTGATATATCTCTGGCATATGGATGGTAACGGTGTTGACTTTCAACTTTAAATGTTCAGCAGCTGCTTCATCAAAAGTATGGAAGAATGACAACTTACCTAAAAACAAAAATATTTAATTTTAATTTAATGTATTCACTTACTATTCATAACATATTAGATAAATTTCTTTAAAACACCATGTCTCATATGAAAAAGATATTAAATTCTGATAAAGTGGATAAAAATCTCTAAACCAGAGCTTTAAATGAGATAATGAAGAAAACTTTAATAACATACTGTAATGAACAACTGTTTAAAGTACCCCAAGCCCTTCAGATTAAAGGCTTTCCAAATAATCATTTTTCCAATCAAAACAATAAAACCCTTATCCACTCTTTCCCGATAAATTATTCTATTTAGTAGAAGAGGTTGATAACCACCAAGGTGAAAAAGACAAAACAGTGTAGTCCTTCACTGTACTGATGTACTGCTTTAGGAGAAGCTTTATCATGTTATACAGAAAACAAAGCTCTGCATAACTCCACAAGTTTTCCATCAAATTTCATACTTTTAGAGTCATTACCTTCAGATAGATTCTCTACCATTACAATTTTTTTTTAAATGTGGACACTGAAAGCAATATTAATTTTAGGGATCCTGACCCCAATCATTTTCACATATGAACTGGGCTGTCTTAGGGCATTAAGTGTATGGTCTTGTTCCTATATATTACACAGGCATTACTTGTGTTCTAAAGTACATTTATGTTCTGGGAGTGATCCGAGGTCACAGGATGCCCACCTAAATAAAATTTACTGCATCTAGTAAAAGGAATGATGCAGACTCCGGGAAATTACTAGATGCACTGGGGATACAATTTCAGCTTCATTGAGGATGGTGGCAAAAGGCTAGGCAGTGGTGGAAAGAGCCACATGCCTGTTGACTTTGGCATTCTCTCTGGAAGTTTTCAAAATACAATGTGCCTTCCATCTGCAGTAATATGCTGGGAAACCAATATAACAAAGATGCCAACTATAGTGCTGCAAACCCTATAAACTCTGAGAAAGAATCCAATCAGGACACCATGCTTGGCTTTTAGGTCAGTGAGAAAAGAATTCAATAAAGTCATGCTTATGGTAGTTTTTGTAGCCCTGAATTTTAGTGGTGCCATTTTCATTAACAGAACATTGAGAGAAGACTCTTTCATCCTTAAGGGTGAACCATACATAGTCATCAGTAGTAGATCCAGGTAAAAAAAAAAGTGGCCTAAGTTAAACTATTAAGCAGAATCTGTCATAGCTAAGTGACCTCTGGTATAGTTAGTGGCAAGCAAGTCTTCTTACAGTGAGTGGCAATTTAACATACAGTACCAGAATTCAAAATAAAAATGAAATGCCAAAAATCCATTGTAGACTTCAACAGGTGTAATCAATTTGCACCTACACTTAGTGATATACCCTAAATAAATTTCTGGATCCACCAATGGTTATAAAGGTTTACACTGTTGTGTCTTCATCTAAATTATTATTTATTTATGGCAACTAAGTCATAGGTGCCTAACTCAGATAGGATGGAATGTACATCTTTGAATAAGGACCAGGAAAAAATTAACAAAAAATAGAGAAAATGACTGACTTACCGAAAATATAACCTGTCTCCATTTTAAAAATGGAGAACAGTATGTAAAATCCAGTGTCCAAGTATCAGCCTGCAGCCTCGTCTTCTGATGCAGTTTAGATTTTAAACAAGATTTTGCTAGACCATTAACTTACTGGAATATCCCAGGTAACATTTTGTTAAATGAAGGATTTCAGAACAAAATTTTATTATTCAGTGAATAATAAAATGCTGCATATTGCAAAGTCTCCTATACATATTTTTCAAACAAGCACATTTTCACTTTTCCTCACCTATACATTCACGTTTTTCATTCCCATGACAAACAGCCCTGTTTCTTTTCTCGTATCACCTCACAGGTAAATGTTACCTAAATATTTAGGTAATATTTACCTTACAGGAAAATGTTACCTAAACCTACTGACTGACTGTCAAATCTTAATGTGTAGCCCCAAGCCACACCCCACTCCTAGGAGAGAAGTTTACACTTAACGACAAGTCCTAGAATCGTGATCATCCAATCAGGAAGCAGACTGTAATACCCAAGGTTGAACAGATCTGTCAGTAGGCTCAACTTAACTTTGTCATGGTCACACTAGCTTAGAGAGATCAAGTTGTTTGTGCAATCTGTCTTAAGTAAAACAGATTGTTGTAAGTATTATTATTATTATTATTATTATTATTATTATTGTCATTATTATTATTATTAACACATTGGCCATTTCCCACCAAGGCAGGGTGGCCCAAAAAAGAAAAACTTTCACCATCATTCACTCCATCAGTCTTGCCAGAGGCACGCTTACACTACAGTTATAAAACTGCAACATTAACACCCCTCCTTAGACTGCAGGCACTGTACTTCCCATCTGCAGGACTCAAGTCCAGCCTGCCAGTTTCCTTAAGTCCCTTCATAAATATTACCCTGCTCGCACTAACAGAACGTCAAATTCTAAAACCCATTTGTCTCCATTCGCTATCTAACATACTCATGCATGCTTCTTGGAAGTCCAAGCCCCTCACACACAAAACCTCCTTTACCCCCTCCCTCCAACCTTTCCTAGGCCGACTTCCATCCCGCCTTCCCTACACTACAGATTTATACACTCAAAGTCATTCTATTTTTTTCCATCCTCTCTACATATCTGAATCACCTCATCAACCCCTCCTCAGCCCTCTGGATAATATTTTTGGTAGTCCCACACCTCCTAATTTCCAAACTACGAATTCTCTGCATTATATTCACACCAAACATTGCCCTCAGACACGACATCTCCACCGCCTCCAGCCTTCTTGCTGCAACATTCACCACCCATGCTTCACACCCATATAAGAGCATTGGTTATAACTATACTCTTATACATTCCCTTCTTTGCTTCCATGGATTAAGTTCTTTGTCTCCACAGATTCCTCAATGTGCACCACTCACCTTTTTCCCTTTGTCATTTCTATGATTCACCTCATCTTTCATAGACCCCATCTGCTGACATGTCCGCTCCTAAATATTTGAATACATTCACCTCCTCCATACTCTCCCTTAAATATGATGTCTAATCTTTTGTTACCCATTTTTTGTTATCCTCATCACCTTACTCTTTCCTATATTCACTTTTAATTTTCTTCTTTTACATACCCTACCAAACTCATCCACCAACCTCTGCAACTTCTTTTCAGAATCTCCCAAAAGCAGCATCATCAGCAAAGAGCAACTGTGACAACTCCCATTTTGTGTTTGATTAAAAACCCAGATTAGCAGAACTTCCATTGCTGGCAATCACAGTTTGTCCAACAGCCTTCAGGTTCAATTTTCAGGAAAGTTATTTCACTAACACGCTGAACTCATTCACGCACTACAAAACTTGCCACACCCAGGTGTAGACACCATCTGGTAGCATCTTTCAGATTCCGGATTAAATTATCACTACCCAAAAATCCATATTAAACCTCTCAACTCTAAGTTATAATGTGACCACAATTCCTGAAGGGTTGGTACTGTACAGCTACTTTAAATGTCTTAAAATTCCTAAAGATTAAAAATAGTTTTTTTTTTTTTTTTCAACAAGTTGGCCATCTCCCACCAAGGCAGGGCGACCCAAAAAGAAAGAAAATCCCCAAAAAGAAAATACTTTCATCATCATTCAACACTTTCACCTCACGCATACATAATCACTGTCTTTGCAGATGTGCCCAGATTCAACAGTTTAGAAGCATATGTAAAGATGTATAACATATCCCTCCAAACTGGCAATATCCCAAACCCTTCCTTTAAAGTGCAGGCATTGTACTTCCCATTTCCAGGACACGAGTCCGGCTATATAAAAATAAGTGGTTCCCCTGAATCCCTTCACTAAATATTACCCTGCTCACACTCCAACAGCTCGTTAGGTCCCAAAAACCATCATCTCCATTCAATCCTATCTAACAGGCTCATGCATGCTTCTTGGAAGTCCAAGCCCCTAGCCCACAAAACCTTTACCCCCTCCCTCCAACCTTTTCAAGGACGAATCCTACCCCGCCTTTCTTCCCCTACAGATTTATATGCTCTGCATGTCATTCTACTTTGATCCATTCTCTCTAAATGACCAAACCACCTCAACAACACCTCTTTAGCCCTCTGACTAATACTTTTATTAACACCACACCTAATTTCCACACTCTGAATTCTCTGCCTAATTTACACCACACATTGCCCTTAGAAAGGACATCACTGCCTCCAACCACCTCCTCGCTGCAGCATTTACAACCCAAGCTTCACACCCATATAAGTGTGTTGGTATCACCATACTTTCATACATTCCCTTCTTTGCCTCCATTGATAATGTTTCTTGTCTCCACATATACCTGAATGCACCACTCTCCTTTTTTCCTTCATCAATTCTATGGTTAACCTCATCCTTCATAAACCCATCTGCTGACATGTCAACTCCCTAATATCTGAAAACATTCACTTCTTCCATACTCCCTGTCTCCAATGTGATATCCAATTTTTCTTTATATCATTTGAGACCCTCATCACCTTACTCTCATCTATGTTCACTTTCAACTTCCTACCTTTACACACCCTCTTATATGGACCAAAAAATAAATAAACCAGCATTACAAATGGAAGAGTAATAGCAGCTTTCAATTTACTGACTCCACCTTACCTCTTAATTCATTTGCAGCTCCAATATATTCATCGAACATATCATTCTTTTCTGAAAAATAGGCAATTACATTTGCATCTTTCCTTGCAAAGTTGTTCTGGGCCTCTACTGCAGTTTTTACTTCTCTTGAGGGCAATTTGGCTTGCTCCTTCATATATTCAACAATTCCAGAATGATCCCGTTTACCCTTGTAATCAAATTTTCTGCCACTGCGAAATACCTGTGAGAAAAAACTTTTTTTTATTCATGAAAAAATGGGTTAAACGTATGAAAACAATATATAACTATCTCAACAGCTAACTAGATATATTGCTTGCATGTTCAGAATATTGTAGGTAGTAGGTTGGTAGACAGCAGCCATCCAGGGGGGTACTACCATTCTGCCAAGTGAGTAAAACAAAAGCCTGTAATTGTTTTACATGATGGTAGGATTGCTGGTGTCTTTTGTCTGTCTCATAAATATGCAAGATTACAGGTACGTCTTGCTACTTCTTCTTACACTTAGGTCACACTACACATATATGTACAAACATATATATACACACCCCTCTGGGTTTTCTTCTATTTTCTTTCTAGTTCTTGTTCTTTTTATTTCCTCTTATCTCCATGCGTGTTGTAAGAGGCATCTAAAATGCCGGGAGCAAGGGGCTAGTAACCCCTTCTCCTGTATGTATTACTAAATGTAAAAGGAGAAGCTTTCGTTTTTCCTTTTGGGCCACCTCACCTCGGTGGGACACGGTCGGTGTGTTGAAAGAAAGAAGAATGTTCAGAATATATATTTTTTCATTACAAGTGTGATACAAACCAACATAGTTGGATATCCAGAAACTCCATATTCATCAGCTATTTCTTTTTCCTCTGTTCCATCAATCTTGGCCAGAGGGATGTTGTTAGCTTGAAGATCATGTGCTGCAGCCTCATACTCTGGTTCAAGCTGCAAAAATTACAAAGCACTGTAATCCTTATAAATCCATCTACAGTAACTGCATTATCTGATTCTCTTCTAATCACAGATTGGATATAATTAAAACAGCCCCATATCCAACAATTTAATATTAATAGCTCATTCTACACTTTCAGCAGAGCTATTTTTTCATTACAAGCAGACTTCTGAAGCAGGATCCTCATCCACATTTGCTATTATCTCCCATACAAACCACAAACATTTTCAAGAACTATTCCACTAGCAATATTTTCTTTTATCTCTGGTGTAAAAACTTCAGTCCTAAACCTGTAAGAGTCAAATAGCACTGTAAGGAGGAGGGGGGTGTAGTAAAGTAGAATGTGCGTAGTTAAGATTCAGCAAGAGGTAGGTGTGTGTATAGTTAGGGGTTAGTGGGGATTAGTGCAAATAAAATTGAAATTACAGTTGGTGTATTAGGTGACCTTTAATTAAAAAAAAGTCAAGAGAGAATGAGTCTCCATCAAAGATGGAACCTTCAGCAAGGAGATCAATAAGAACAAGTGTGTTGGGGCAACAGACATTGGAAGTGGATCCTGCATGCACTGTGATAGTTAAGACACACACTATAAAGGTATGATGAGTAGACAGTGCAACCTAACAACCCTCACACAGTGGTGCGAGTTGTTTCTCCATGTGATATCCAATACAGAAGTGTGTGTAGTCTCCCAAACCTGATAATGGTGTGGTGTGAAGACACAAACAGGTCTTCACAGAGCTAAGTACACGTCACCACTGAATAAATTTAGATTTAGAAAGGACATAGGCAAGTACTGGTTTTCTAACAGAGTTGTAGATGCGTGGAACAGTCTTCCCAGTGGGGTGATAGAGGCTAGGAACTTGGGTAGCTTTAAGAAGAGACTGGACAAATATATGAGTGGGAGGGGCTGGGTTTGATTGGTGTCATGGGGTACGGGAGTTATTTCTTGGGTAGCTTTAGGTAGATGTCGTTTTGATAAGGACCTGCCTCGTATGGGCCAGTAGGCCTTCTGCAGTGTTCCTACATTCTTATGTTCTTATAGTCAGAATCCTCAATGTAGTTTGACTGGCCCACAAATTGTTGTCTATGTAGGCCAACATTGTTGTCAGTGGTCGAGGAGAAATAAAAAAAAAAAAATAGTCCGAGTGAGGAATACTCCTTTGGGAAATCAGGTCTTGAATAGCTGACTTAGCAACTGAGTCTGCATGTTCATTGCCCTGAACACTGGCATGTCCAGGAACCTAGCATGATATGACTTCTTTGTGCTTACTATAAATGTGACATAAGAAAAGCTGTATATGAAGGCCAATGGAATGAGGGGAGATTAATTTCTGGATAGCCTGTAACCACAAAAGATGAGGATGTGGATAGTAGCGAGAATTGCATATAACTCTGCTGTGAAAGTACTAGCCAATTCTAATAAATGACCTCTTATGATTCGTTCGGGAAAAGCAGCTGTATACCAAACTCCATTGTGGTATTTAGAACCATCAATGTACACTGGAACAGCACAAAAGTGAGACTAGAAGTGATCAAGAAAGTGAATGTACAGAGCTACAACCACTGAAAATTAAAAAAAAAAAAAAAATGATAAAAAATATTGAAGATGGAACACCAAGAGCACAGCTCTGCTCCTGTGGCTACAAATAGCCAATTGTATTATATCTTTACAAAATAGGTCTCACTACAGGAAACAACTACCAGTAAATCTTTAACATACCTATATTCCACAAACTGGAGACTTAAACAACTGTTCCATGTACTTCTCCACTTTAGACAAAGTATACTAAATATTCACTGTAGTTCTGTCCACCTCTGCAATGGGCAATGATGACAAGATCTATATACAGGTCCACTGGAGATTAAAATACTGACATACTATCTCATATTTCACTTGAAAATACCAATAGGTTAGATCAAAGTGCCTTTTCTCAGATCAACAGCATACACTAGGAAACAATCAACATTCTTAAGGAAACGTGATATGTGCTCAGAGAGGTAACTGCTCAGTTAAAGTGGGGTGGCTAACTTGCAGACCGCAACAATCTTGACAGGTGTTAGACATGGACAGTGAATAGACCCAGAAAACAGTCTGCTGAAACTAAATATGTACTGTACAATGTTTTACCAATTATGGGGAATTAAAGTAAGATAAGACAAGATAAGAAGTTTGAGATTTTGTTCAGATTTTTAACCTGAAGGGTTAGTGACCCAGGATACCCTAATAGTCAACGCATCATTGGAAACTGTCTTATTTCCACTAGGGTTCTTTAATCATGTTCCCCAGGATGCAACCCACAACAGTCTATTAGCACCCATGTACCACTTGCTACTAGGTGAACAGGGGTAGCAGGTGTCAAGAAACATGCCTGGTATTTCCACCTGTGTCAGGGATTTAACAATGGACACCAAGTATGTATGCTGAGTGCACTATCAAACAAGCATTAAGTAACAGGAAAAGTACTACAGTACTGTATATACAGAAAATGTGGGAAGACAATGTCAAACCTGCAATGGTTTGAGCATGTATGAAATAATGGGAATGCAGTTTATTAAAAGATTTGAGAATCCAAGAACTGGGATGAAAATTTTACATACTGTGAGAGCCTATGAAGACAATAGGATAGAAACAAGCCAGAAAGACAAGTTCTGACAGGGACTCAAATGGTGGAAATACAAATCTTAAATGAACGAACTAATTCAAGATTGCAAATTTCAGCACAAAATTCATAAATCAAATCTAATGAAAATATTCATTTCTATCTTTTTTGGCTTTATTCTTGCCAAATTCACTCTCCAAACAATTCTATGCTAGTTCAAAACTTTGAAGTACTGCAATTTACTTACAGCCTTGCAATGTCGACACCAGGGAGCATAAAATTCCACAAGGATGAGGTCGTTTGACGTGATGGTTTTAGAAAAATTAGCAGCAGTGAGAACAATGACAGCAGATTTAGGTGGTACATAATTAGGATCAGCATGCATGTGCATGTAATCCACTAGAGCTGTGAAGAAAACAAATAGATTAATTAAGAAACAGGATTACAGTAACTTTAGTTCACAGAAACTTTAAAAATTTAAAACAATGAACAGTATGTATTAGATTTAGATTCATATTTAGGCTCATTAACCCTTAAATGGTCCAAACGTATATATACGTTTTTTCAACATCTGAAAGTATGTAAAAAAATGTAGATTTTTTTTTTGTTTTACATGTGAAAACGTGTAAAAAAACTTTTATCTACATTTTTTTTGTTATATTTGAAAATATGTAAAAAAAAGTAGATCTACTTTTGTAGCACTACGAATTTGAACGTCGATCTGTTTGGACCGTTTAAGGGTTAAATAAAGTCGAGAATAATTACACATGTACATACATAAAAAGGTATAATATCTTAACCATTTTATCTACATTTACAGCACTATATCCATGCCATGGGAGGAGAAGAAAAAGAAGAAAAGGAAGAAAAGGAAGAAGAAAAAAAGGAAGAAAAGGAAAAAAATGAAGAAAAAGAAAAAGAAGAAATACCGTACCTTTGCTAGTTCTTGCACCACTGTAATCTTCAACAGGCTGACCATTTTTGAAGAGTTTAATTGTTGGGTAACCAGACACTAAAAACTCTTTTGCCAACTCTTGCTCCTTTGTGGCATCTACTTTACCTAATCTTATACCATCCTCTTTCAACTCTTTTGCTGCAGCAGCATACTCAGGAGCTAGCTGCTTGCAATGGCCACACCTAAGGTTGTTAGAAAATTTATTATTTTTATTATTATTAGGTTGAAATCCCCCAGGAGCAAGATGTAGGGGGCAGGAGCTGGAAGATTTTTCCAGACTGATCAATTTTCACAAGCTCATACACAATTTTTTTTTTTACCACAATGGGCCTCTCCCACTAATATATGGTAAATATATGGCTTACCAAAAGTGCACCGACATTCAGTGGAACCTCAAATTTCGAATGTATCACTTATCGAACTCTTCGAAAATCGAACGCTTTTTTCGAACCAACTTTATCCCTATTATCGAACTTGCCCCTATTTCGAACTGCCAGGTACTGGACCTGTCTGGCAGCCCACGCTGTTCTGTCCGCATCTCCGCGCAGGCACCGTGAGCCAGTCTGGTTTTGCTGATGCTTGAGTGAACACTAACCTATGCTCTCAAACATTTTATGATTATTTCATTGTGTTTAGTGCTTGTGGGACTGTGAAATAAGCTACCATGGGCCCAAAGAAACTTGCTAGTGGTACCCCTGTGGCAAAGAAAGTGAGAAACATCATAGATGTCAAGAAGGAAATAATACAGAAGTATGAGAGTGGTGTGAGACTTGTTGAGCTTGCCAGGATGTATGGGAAAAACAAGTCGACCATCGGTTCTATCATGGCAAAGAAAGAACAAATCAAGGAAGCTGATGTTGCAAAAGGTGTTAACCCATAAACGGTCCAAGCAGATCTAAGTTCACATGCGTAGTGCTCCAAAAGTAGATCTACTCTTTTTTACATATTTTCAAACATAACAAAAGAAAAAAACGTAGATCAAAGTTTTTTTACACGTTTTCAAAGGTAAAAAAAAAATGATGATCTACTTTTTTTACATACTATCAAATGTTGAAAAAATGTATATATACATTTGGACCGTTTACGGGTTAATATGCTAACCAAAAAAAGACCACAGACAATTGATCAGATTGAGAAGTTGTTGCTGGTGTGGATCAAGGATAAAGAAATGGCAGGTGATAGTGTTTCAGAGACCATTATTTGCAAAAAGGCAAGGAAGTGGCATGCCAATCTGGTAAAGAAAACTCATGGAACCAGTGCTGATAGTGAATTTAAGGCCAGCAGAGGCTGGTTTGACAGAGAAGGGAAGTAACTCCAGAGAGGGCTTTGATACCTGAAGTCCTCATGGAGGGGGATTCTCCTTCCAAACACTAACCCAAACTCCCTCTCTCCTCCTCCCTATCTTCCAGATGCCATCACCAATCTTCAATAAAGATAAGTAAAAATTTTATTTTATATGTTTGTTTACATTTATTAATGCATAATTGAACACTACATTTGTTGTGTGTATGTAAAACTCTAATTAATCTATAAAATGTATTTTTTTGTGAATATTTTTGGGTTTCTGGAATGGATTAATTGTATTCCATTATTTCTTATGGGAAATATTGCTTCACTTTTCAGACTTTTCGAATTTAGAACTAGCTCCTGGAACAGATTAAGTTCGATATTTGAGGTTCCACTGTAATTCAAAGGACCTTCCAAACTGCAACATCCCCACCCCTCCTTGTTGAGAAGGAAATTTTATACATACAATATTTCACGAAAATTTCTAAAATAATGACTTACCATGGCGCATAAAATTCAACTAGTATTATATCCTTTTCATTAACTGCATGGAGAAAATTATCACGAGTCAACACCAAAACATCATCGTCCTCAACAACATCGATATTGCCACCAAAGCCCTCAACGCTTGGTATCTCTGGAATTTAATACAAACTGCACTATGAATCATGCCAATTTTTCCTCATAAAAGATAAGAATCTTATCAAAGAGAAAATATTGAAGAAATCAGATAAAAGCATCATTTACAGTTTATGCTATGAACATAGTTTTGGTAATTCCATTTTTAACTGCCTTAACCCTTAAACTGTCCAAACGTAGATCTACGTGCACATGTGGGAGGGCTCCGAACGTAGATCTATTTTTTTTTTACATGCTTTCAAATGGGGAAAATCAAGGTTGGAGTGCTACCCATGTGAATGTAGCTCTATGTTTGGACAGTTTAAGGGTTAAGGATATTAGCAGTTTTTAAATATTTTTTTTTTATCTGTATTACAGTAAAAAAAATAAAAAAAAAAGGACCCCAAAGACAAAAAAATTATATGTATTTGTTAGGACATCCTAACAAATACATATTCAAAGTTTTATATCTATACTAATAAGGAAAATCACTAATTGAGTACTGTACCTGTTACCACTGTGTGACTCACTACTTCATGCAAGTCAAACAAAATACTAACTGTATTGGCCTTGAGCCAGGCTGAGGAAGTAGGAAAACTCAAAACTCTTCAAAAGAAGCTATGTTGGGTGCATTTATTTTCCATTTGCTTGTTTTTATTAGCTAATATCCTATACTTTTTATGGTGTTGCTGCTGTTCTACTGCTGTGTCGTAGTCTAACAAATACTCGCTAAGTCGCTTCCAGCTAAATACACTTCCAAACTGATTACGAGAGAAAGTGTATTTGCCTAGTAGCAAAGTAACGAACATTTTGTTAAACACTGTATTCATGGCAGTCGGAAAGCAACCAGTTTATAGGTTAGGTTAGATAACATACATATTAAAACTTATATTTAACCACAAATAAGCGTATGGTACCTCACAAAGCTAAAATAATTGTAAGATTTGAGTAAATGTCAAACAATTTAGTATTCCTAGTCATGTTAATTTAAAAAAAAAAAAAGAAAGAAAGATAATTATATTTCCTTGTAAAGGTTACAAAGTGCAATTACCGTTTTGGTTTAATGAGTACAAGGAAAGCCATTATCATGCCGAGGAATTTCAGGCAGACTAATCCTAGTACATAATACATTACAGCAAGGTATGTATTATTACATGAGGGAGTGATGAAGCCATAGGAATTATCCAGCACCTGGGAAATGTGAGGTATTTAGCTCGATCCAAGGAAGAGGAAGGCAAGTCAAATTACTTGGATCAAGAGCCTCTCTTCCCCCTTCACCAACATTAAGGAACCTCCCTTGAGGGGAGTCAGCAATTACTAAGCTGTAGATCAAAGTGGAAGTAAATATATTTAGGCATAGGTACAGGTATACCTGGAGAGGGTCTTGGGGATTAATGCCACCCTGGCCCGGTCTGTGACCAGGCCTCCTGGAGGATCAGGGTCTGATCAACCAGGCTGTTACTGCTGGCCCCATGAAAAATGGCACATGAACCACAGCCCAGCTGATCAAATACTGATTTTAGGTGCCTGTCCAGCACCTTGAAAGCTCCCAGGGGTCTACTGGTAATCCCCCTTATATATGCTGGGAGGCAGCTGAACAATCTTGGGCCCTTAACACCTTCTGTGTTGTCTCTTAGTGTACTCACGGCACCCCTGCTTTTTATTGGGGAGGATGTTGCATCTTCTGCCCAGTCTTTTGCTTTTGAAGGGAGTGATTTTTGTGTGCAAATTTGGGACTAGGCCCTTTAGGATTTTCCAAGTGTATATTATCATGCATCTTTCTAGTCTGCATTCCAGAGAATACAAGTCAAGGGACTTCAACCATTCCCAGTAGTTTAGGTATTTTATCATATTTATACATGACATGAAAGTTCATACATTCTCCAGGTGTGCAATTTCACCTGCCTTGAAAGGGGCCATTAGTGTACAGCAATATTCCAGGCTAGAGAGAAAAAGTGATTTGAAGAGAACCATCATGGGCTTGGCATCCCTATTTTTAGAAGTTCTCATTATCCATCCTGTCATTTTCCTAGCAGATGTGTTGGATACATTGTGATATTTGAAAGCGAGATCCTCTGACATTATCACTCCCAGGCCTTCACGTTAGTTTTTTGCTCTACTAGTAAGTAAGTAAGTAAGCAAGTTTATTCAGGTATACACAAATACAGTTACATAGAATTATCATACATAGCAGCATATGTGTAGAGAACCTAGGATAACCCAAAAAAGTCAGACAGAGTGACTTATTTCCATTGGGGTCCTTTTACCTTATTATAATATAAAGGTTATAATATTTTCTTATTATTCTACAATGAAGATAACATCTTATTATCATACTAAAAAGACTATCTACTACACCAAGGTCATTAAGACTATCTACAATACGAGGGTCATTACTAGGAAGAAGGTAAAATTTACACGTATGTTAGCTAAAAAAAATAGAAAATCATTCCCCTCCCTTTCTGTAGCTACATTCATCAGACACCTTTTGGCACTCTTCTTGAACTGGTTCATGCTATGACTGGCTTTGACATGTGCGGGCAGTCTGTGTATGTGGTTGGAATTTGTTTTATACTCTGATACTGTTTTAATTTCCTCACGTTTTCTATATCGAATTATTATAATCATGAGGGAGCGCTAAACCCGTAGGATTATACAGTGCATGTGGGGGGGGATGGAAGGTATTCAGCCTCAATTCAGGGAACCGGAGAAGGTCCAATTCCCTAGATCAAGAGCCCCTCACCAGCATCAAGGAACCTCCCTTGAGGGATTTCCATCTCAAAGTAATTGAAATTCCTCTTCATTTGGCTGATGTCCGCCTGGAGTCTTTCAGTTTTTTCGACGGACGACACGAGGGCACTGTAATGCAAATACATGTGTGTCCACGTCAGATATGAGGATAAGGAACAGGATGGGGGCAAGTACAGTGCCTTGTGAAGTACAAGTATCATACAAAGTGTAAATTAACTACGATAGCCCAATTATTATAATCAATACTAGGCACTAAACCCACAGGGGCCATACAGCTAGAGTAACCCAAATAAAAGTCAGTGACATACATACCTCCATCAGGGTCCAGTGTTATCTTGGGCTCTGCTTCATCCTGGCCAAAAGAACCACCAATAAATAACAGAAGTAACAGGTAACACCTCATTATGGTGTCTCTGTGGATGATGTGCCTTGCACTTCAAGGTGGGTTCAGAGGTACCTGCAGCTTCACCTACGTCGTCTGTCTTCACCTGCTTCAAAATAGGTTCACAAGTACCTACAGCACCTACTACTTCTCCTACGTCGCCTGTCTCCACCTGCTTCAAAATAGGTTCAGAGGTACCTACTACTTCACCTACGTCGCCTCCTACATGTAAACAAGCAACGCTGCCGCCGGCAATAACTGCTGCCCAAACTCTCCTACCTGACAACACGTCATTCTACCCTCCTATATTTTACAAATCAAACACAAGATGTCTATATTATATACATCACTAATGATATATATTAAACAGCGTGTGTATGTGCTTCTCATAACATTAGCTGTCTCGTATTACTCGTTAATAAGGTGCGATGTGTGTGGAACATTTCCACCAATCACTTGACGCCAAGTTAAGTTTCTCTCATTATCAAATGTAAGGATCTAAATTTTTTAATTTATTTTCCAATATTTCTAACTTTTACTCAGACTCTTCATTAAATAATGAGCCGCACCTGCTCTTATATGTCTAAATCAAGTAATAATTCCCCAATGTCCAATATAAACGTTAAATGTATGCAATAATCCCGAAAGATTAGATTAATTAACTAATTAACTAACTAATTAACTAATTCACTATCCTGTTTCAATATGCTGAATTATAGGAAACTCGAAATCTATTAGAATAATTAAAGTGAAATTAAAAGCTAATCGTATTTCTTAATAGTAAAATTTATTGTCTAAATATTTAAAAGTAAGCGCTAAACCAATGTCTGAAGAATGAGAGATTTCAGATTTATTCTTGCTTGGACTAAATGTGATCCAAGGGAAGGAAGAGTAGCTCTAGTTCCTTGGAGCAAGAACCCTTCATCAGTATCCAGGCACCCACCTGCTAGGAAAGAAATTTAGATACACATTCTGCGCCTACCCTCTCTTATAGGCCTTGTGCTTATTTTTAAACCTAAAATAGGACTTAGTCGGATATCTTTTGATTATATTTACATTAACGAGAAAGTGCAAAGGTTTGCAACAAAGCTAGTTCCAGAGCTAAGGGAAATCGAACTGACGACACTGGAGGACAGGAGGGTTAGGGGAGAGTTTACCTGGACCTGGAGACATGATAACGACATACAAAATACTGCGTGGAATAGACAAGGTGTTCAATTGTGTTCACAAAGTTTTCGCTTAATTTGTTAAATATTCTAGGAATATCACAATACTGGATAGCAGTAACAGCCAGGATTACCATGACAGTGACCTTCATGGAAGACACTGCGAGACTCCATGCAGACATCAACCAAATCTTCGAATGGGCCACTCAGAACAATATGAGGTTTAATTAACGAGGAGAAATTTCAACTACTCAGATATGGGAAACTTGAAGAAATTAAAAATGTGTCAGGGTATACGACAAATTCTAACCATGCAACAGAGCGGAAAAGTAATGTGAAGGACCTGGGAGTGATAATGTCAGAGGATCTCGCCTTCAAAGACCAGAACAATGTATCTACCTCATCCACTAGGAAAATGATGGGATGGATAATGAGAACCTTCAAAACTAGGGACGCCAAGCCCATGATGATTCTCTTCAAATTGCTTGTGCTCTCTAGGCTGGAATACTGCTGTACACTAACGGCCCCGTTCAAGGCTGGCGACATTGCAGACTTGGAGAGTGTACAAAGAACTTTCATGGCACACATAAGTGCGATAAAGCACCTAAACTACTGGAAACGGTTGAAGGTCCTTGATCTGTATTCCCTCGAATGCAGGCGAGAGAGATACATGATAATATACACTTGGAAGGTACTGGAGGGATTGGTACCAAACTTGCACACGAAAATCACTCCCTACAAAAGCAAAAGACTAAACAGGAGATGCAACATTCCACCGATGAAAAGTAGGGGAGCCACGAGTACACTAAGAGACAACACAATAAGTGTCCGGGGCCCAAGACTGTTCAGTTGCCTTCCAGCATACATAAGGGGGATTACCAATAGACCCCTGACTGTCTTCAAGAAGGCACTGGACAGACACCTAAAGTCAGTACCTGACCAACCGGGCTGTGGTTCGTAAGTCAGCTTGCGTGCGGCCAGCAGTAACAGCCTGGTTGATCAGACCCTGATCCACCATGAGGCCTGGTCTCAGACCGGGCCGCGGGGGCGTTGACCCCCGAAACCCTCTCCAGGTAACTCCAGGTTGATCAGGCAATGATCAACCAGGTTGATCAGGCCATGATCAACCAGGCTGATCAGGGCTTGATCATTAGTTGGTAACCTGTCTTAGTGTGTTAAGTATTATATATGTTTTACGTATGTTGAAATTCTAAATCAAATATAAAAATAAAAATCCATAAAAGAAGTATTAAAGTAGTCCAAATATATTTATTCACTAAGGTATTGAACTATAATGCCAATGTTGAGCCTGGTGAGCTTCCCTGAGATCGCCGTGAGGAGCACCGCCTGCACTACCTTTCTCCTGGTTCGCTGTGCTCTTGTCAGCTTACGCTGCGGCCTTTGCAGAGGAACAAAGAGAAGCCCTATGCTTTTTCTGCGAGGCTTCCTGTGCCATTTGGCGTTCGGATGCGAGCCTTCTAGAACCTGGTTTATGGCCTCGAAGTGTCTGCAATCAGAGAGGTTGCTTCTGTCCCTGCACTGTTTAGACGTTTAGTTAGTTTAATATGTTTATTATGCACCCCATACCCATCCTGTGGGCGCTAGTCAAAAAGATTACAGAGGTACATAATGGGTCCAGGGACTGGGCCCCAAAGTTTTGATAGTTGAACAAGGTAATGAACCATTCACACGTCTACACTCTTTGGACGGTGATTAAGATTTGTCTTTGTAGACAGTGGATGGGGACCCTTTTAAGTGTAGAGCCCCAATGATGACATTGGCTAATTTCCTGGAGTATGATTCGGTTCATGTTTTAAAGATAAAGCTTTTCATTGATTGGTCAAAAAAATAGAGGGTAGTGTTGGCTCTGTTGTGAATGCTGGTTTGGAATCTTAATTTGCACAGTTATGAAGAAAGTCCTCTGAATTGCGGAACTCCACGTAATCCTCACTGTTCTTGTTATATAAGCTGGCTTAGTTTTCGGTTCACTGTATACCCAGATTCTCAATATGCTCTGTGTACCCTAACCAAGTATGCTTCTGTCCACTCTGGAGTCCAAATGATCCAAGAATGGCTAGCTTGTCTATACATGCAACACATGGATGCGGGGTTCACTTGGTGCCTGGGCCATGTTGGTGACTCGGGAAATGAACAAGCAGATACTAAGGCAATGACTGCTGTATCAAGACCACTCCATAGTAGACTTTTGCCTTAATTGGACATATCTACAGATATGCCCTGGGAAGTGGCAAGCTTGATGGGTTTCACAGACAAGCAGCAATTTATACAGTGTTCGGCAGGATGTGGGGGTTGCTCTCCTCAGCCAACAGGAATCATCATGTTGAGACACACATCTGTCGACCGAGGATCAGGCACACATTTCACACAAAATTTTTGCAGGTGCCGTCCCTCTCCTCTTCCCGTATGTAGCCTGCAGTGTGCATTTGACTACGGAACCCATTTTAACAGTTTCTTCATGGCTTAGGTCTTTCCACCTTCATGATTTTTATAATTACCGAGGTGTTTGTAGGGATCTCGGGGAACCTTTAGAAGAGCCTCTTGACATTAATAATTTAATGGTATCATAGTATATATTTGTATTGAGTGTTTTATTAGTTTTCGTAGCTTTATTATTTGTTAATTTTATCTGTTTTTGTTATGTGTGTGTGTGTGTGTGTGTGTGTTTGTATTGTTATAACTTATTATTGCTAAGAGTGCTGAGTGACCAACTGCTTCCCAGCAAACAGAAGGGGGATTACCAATAGACCCCTGGCTGTCTTCAAGAAGGCGCTGGACAGGCACCTAAAGTCAGTACCTGATCAGCTGGGCTGTGGTTCGTACGTCGGGTTGTGTGCAGACAACAGTAACAGCCTGGTTGGCCAGGCCCTGATCCACCATGAGGCCTGGTCACAGACTGGACCGCAGGGGCGTTGATCCCCGAAACCTTCTGTGGGTAGATATACACGGTCAACGTGCTCTATAAATGTCACTACTACTACAATATGCTACCAACAAATAGCAGGAAAATACACAAAATGCAATCACTAGGACAAATACACGTTTGGAATGACCACTACCAGGGCCTAAGCATTTCCATTAAACATATCCTAAAATGACTGCATTTTGTAGACATTTCGATACGGGAGCATTGATCGCATTTTATGTGTTTGAAATAATCAAGCTTCTGTGACTGAATCGTCTTCAATAAAAGTGTCTAAGCGTATACATTAGTGTCCTTTTCCCGTTACATTTTGTTTTATTCATCTACTGAAGTATTCCCAAAACAAGGATTAGGGAAAAATTGATCAGGGATGAAGGCAGAGCGGAATACTAAGACCAACTCAGGAGACCATACCATTGTAGAAATGTGAGAAACATTACACCATATAATGATGATACATACTACATATGTAAGAAAAAAAATGACAATATAAGATATTCAAGTTAACACCAGCAGTCAGTGTTAAGGAAGCTTCTCCACCACTACAGAGAAGAAGACTCCTCATACTCATATATATACCTGGAGAGGGTTTCGGGGGTCACCGCCCCCGCGGCTCGGTCTGAGACCATGCTTCATGGTGGATCAGAGTCTGATCAACCAGGCTGTTACTGCTGGCTGCAAGCAAGCTGACGTACGAACCACAGCCCGGTTGGTCAGGTACTGACTTTAGGTGCCTGTCCAGTGCCAGGAATATATCTTGTATCTTATTCCTATATAGTTCACAACCCTATAATTTAATGCTATAAGACAATGGTAAGTTCAGTTTAGTGGTGCTAAAACTCAAGTTGTTAAATCACCTTAAGTAGAAAAACAGAATACAAACTTTCGATAAGAAGATCTCGTTTGGATTATTAACCCAGAGAGTCAAAACCCAGTTAAACCCAATAAAACTATGTCATCAGACTGGTTTATTTCTACTGAAGTCGCCTTCCCCAGGTGCTACCCAAACTAGTCGGCTAACACCCAGGTACCTACACTACTTACAGGTAAGTGAACAGGTGCAATAGGTGTAAGGAAACGTCCAACGTTTCCACTCGTCCGGACTGCGAACCCAGGTCCCTCACTGTGTGAGATGATTCCGTTACCAATTTTTTTTATCCACGAACACACTAAATATAGTCTTCTTGTA